GCTCAAGCTCAAGCTCAAGCTCAAGCTCAAGCTCAAGCTCAAGCTCAAGCTCAAGCTCAAGCTCAAGCTCAAGCTCAAGCTCAAGCTCAAGCTCAAGCTCAAGCTCAAGCTCAAGCTCAAGCTCAAGCTCAAGCTCAAGCTCAAGCTCAAGCTCAAGCTCAAGCTCAAGCTCAAGCTCAAGCTCAAGCTCAAGCTCAAGCTCAAGCTCAAGCTCAAGCTCAAGCTCAAGCTCAAGCTCAAGCTCAAGCTCAAGCTCAAGCTCAAGCTCAAGCTCAAGCTCAAGCTCAAGCTCAAGCTCAAGCTCAAGCTCAAGCTCAAGCTCAAGCTCAAGCTCAAGCTCAAGCTCAAGCTCAAGCTCAAGCTCAAGCTCAAGCTCAAGCTCAAGCTCAAGCTCAAGCTCAAGCTCAAGCTCAAGCTCAAGCTCAAGCTCAAGCTCAAGCTCAAGCTCAAGCTCAAGCTCAAGCTCAAGCTCAAGCTCAAGCTCAAGCTCAAGCTCAAGCTCAAGCTCAAGCTCAAGCTCAAGCTCAAGCTCAAGCTCAAGCTCAAGCTCAAGCTCAAGCTCAAGCTCAAGCTCAAGCTCAAGCTCAAGCTCAAGCTCAAGCTCAAGCTCAAGCTCAAGCTCAAGCTCAAGCTCAAGCTCAAGCTCAAGCTCAAGCTCAAGCTCAAGCTCAAGCTCAAGCTCAAGCTCAAGCTCAAGCTCAAGCTCAAGCTCAAGCTCAAGCTCAAGCTCAAGCTCAAGCTCAAGCTCAAGCTCAAGCTCAAGCTCAAGCTCAAGCTCAAGCTCAAGCTCAAGCTCAAGCTCAAGCTCAAGCTCAAGCTCAAGCTCAAGCTCAAGCTCAAGCTCAAGCTCAAGCTCAAGCTCAAGCTCAAGCTCAAGCTCAAGCTCAAGCTCAAGCTCAAGCTCAAGCTCAAGCTCAAGCTCAAGCTCAAGCTCAAGCTCAAGCTCAAGCTCAAGCTCAAGCTCAAGCTCAAGCTCAAGCTCAAGCTCAAGCTCAAGCTCAAGCTCAAGCTCAAGCTCAAGCTCAAGCTCAAGCTCAAGCTCAAGCTCAAGCTCAAGCTCAAGCTCAAGCTCAAGCTCAAGCTCAAGCTCAAGCTCAAGCTCAAGCTCAAGCTCAAGCTCAAGCTCAAGCTCAAGCTCAAGCTCAAGCTCAAGCTCAAGCTCAAGCTCAAGCTCAAGCTCAAGCTCAAGCTCAAGCTCAAGCTCAAGCTCAAGCTCAAGCTCAAGCTCAAGCTCAAGCTCAAGCTCAAGCTCAAGCTCAAGCTCAAGCTCAAGCTCAAGCTCAAGCTCAAGCTCAAGCTCAAGCTCAAGCTCAAGCTCAAGCTCAAGCTCAAGCTCAAGCTCAAGCTCAAGCTCAAGCTCAAGCTCAAGCTCAAGCTCAAGCTCAAGCTCAAGCTCAAGCTCAAGCTCAAGCTCAAGCTCAAGCTCAAGCTCAAGCTCAAGCTCAAGCTCAAGCTCAAGCTCAAGCTCAAGCTCAAGCTCAAGCTCAAGCTCAAGCTCAAGCTCAGCTCAAGCTCAAGCTCAAGCTCAAGCTCAAGCTCAAGCTCAAGCTCAAGCTCAAGCTCAAGCTCAAGCTCAAGCTCAAGCTCAAGCTCAAGCTCAAGCTCAAGCTCAAGCTCAAGCTCAAGCTCAAGCTCAAGCTCAAGCTCAAGCTCAAGCTCAAGCTCAAGCTCAAGCTCAAGCTCAAGCTCAAGCTCAAGCTCAAGCTCAAGCTCAAGCTCAAGCTCAAGCTCAAGCTCAAGCTCAAGCTCAAGCTCAAGCTCAAGCTCAAGCTCAAGCTCAAGCTCAAGCTCAAGCTCAAGCTCAAGCTCAAGCTCAAGCTCAAGCTCAAGCTCAAGCTCAAGCTCAAGCTCAAGCTCAAGCTCAAGCTCAAGCTCAAGCTCAAGCTCAAGCTCAAGCTCAAGCTCAAGCTCAAGCTCAAGCTCAAGCTCAAGCTCAAGCTCAAGCTCAAGCTCAAGCTCAAGCTCAAGCTCAAGCTCAAGCTCAAGCTCAAGCTCAAGCTCAAGCTCAAGCTCAAGCTCAAGCTCAAGCTCAAGCTCAAGCTCAAGCTCAAGCTCAAGCTCAAGCTCAAGCTCAAGCTCAAGCTCAAGCTCAAGCTCAAGCTCAAGCTCAAGCTCAAGCTCAAGCTCAAGCTCAAGCTCAAGCTCAAGCTCAAGCTCAAGCTCAAGCTCAAGCTCAAGCTCAAGCTCAAGCTCAAGCTCAAGCTCAAGCTCAAGCTCAAGCTCAAGCTCAAGCTCAAGCTCAAGCTCAAGCTCAAGCTCAAGCTCAAGCTCAAGCTCAAGCTCAAGCTCAAGCTCAAGCTCAAGCTCAAGCTCAAGCTCAAGCTCAAGCTCAAGCTCAAGCTCAAGCTCAAGCTCAAGCTCAAGCTCAAGCTCAAGCTCAAGCTCAAGCTCAAGCTCAAGCTCAAGCTCAAGCTCAAGCTCAAGCTCAAGCTCAAGCTCAAGCTCAAGCTCAAGCTCAAGCTCAAGCTCAAGCTCAAGCTCAAGCTCAAGCTCAAGCTCAAGCTCAAGCTCAAGCTCAAGCTCAAGCTCAAGCTCAAGCTCAAGCTCAAGCTCAAGCTCAAGCTCAAGCTCAAGCTCAAGCTCAAGCTCAAGCTCAAGCTCAAGCTCAAGCTCAAGCTCAAGCTCAAGCTCAAGCTCAAGCTCAAGCTCAAGCTCAAGCTCAAGCTCAAGCTCAAGCTCAAGCTCAAGCTCAAGCTCAAGCTCAAGCTCAAGCTCAAGCTCAAGCTCAAGCTCAAGCTCAAGCTCAAGCTCAAGCTCAAGCTCAAGCTCAAGCTCAAGCTCAAGCTCAAGCTCAAGCTCAAGCTCAAGCTCAAGCTCAAGCTCAAGCTCAAGCTCAAGCTCAAGCTCAAGCTCAAGCTCAAGCTCAAGCTCAAGCTCAAGCTCAAGCTCAAGCTCAAGCTCAAGCTCAAGCTCAAGCTCAAGCTCAAGCTCAAGCTCAAGCTCAAGCTCAAGCTCAAGCTCAAGCTCAAGCTCAAGCTCAAGCTCAAGCTCAAGCTCAAGCTCAAGCTCAAGCTCAAGCTCAAGCTCAAGCTCAAGCTCAAGCTCAAGCTCAAGCTCAAGCTCAAGCTCAAGCTCAAGCTCAAGCTCAAGCTCAAGCTCAAGCTCAAGCTCAAGCTCAAGCTCAAGCTCAAGCTCAAGCTCAAGCTCAAGCTCAAGCTCAAGCTCAAGCTCAAGCTCAAGCTCAAGCTCAAGCTCAAGCTCAAGCTCAAGCTCAAGCTCAAGCTCAAGCTCAAGCTCAAGCTCAAGCTCAAGCTCAAGCTCAAGCTCAAGCTCAAGCTCAAGCTCAAGCTCAAGCTCAAGCTCAAGCTCAAGCTCAAGCTCAAGCTCAAGCTCAAGCTCAAGCTCAAGCTCAAGCTCAAGCTCAAGCTCAAGCTCAAGCTCAAGCTCAAGCTCAAGCTCAAGCTCAAGCTCAAGCTCAAGCTCAAGCTCAAGCTCAAGCTCAAGCTCAAGCTCAAGCTCAAGCTCAAGCTCAAGCTCAAGCTCAAGCTCAAGCTCAAGCTCAAGCTCAAGCTCAAGCTCAAGCTCAAGCTCAAGCTCAAGCTCAAGCTCAAGCTCAAGCTCAAGCTCAAGCTCAAGCTCAAGCTCAAGCTCAAGCTCAAGCTCAAGCTCAAGCTCAAGCTCAAGCTCAAGCTCAAGCTCAAGCTCAAGCTCAAGCTCAAGCTCAAGCTCAAGCTCAAGCTCAAGCTCAAGCTCAAGCTCAAGCTCAAGCTCAAGCTCAAGCTCAAGCTCAAGCTCAAGCTCAAGCTCAAGCTCAAGCTCAAGCTCAAGCTCAAGCTCAAGCTCAAGCTCAAGCTCAAGCTCAAGCTCAAGCTCAAGCTCAAGCTCAAGCTCAAGCTCAAGCTCAAGCTCAAGCTCAAGCTCAAGCTCAAGCTCAAGCTCAAGCTCAAGCTCAAGCTCAAGCTCAAGCTCAAGCTCAAGCTCAAGCTCAAGCTCAAGCTCAGCTCAAGCTCAAGCTCAAGCTCAAGCTCAAGCTCAAGCTCAAGCTCAAGCTCAAGCTCAAGCTCAAGCTCAAGCTCAAGCTCAAGCTCAAGCTCAAGCTCAAGCTCAAGCTCAAGCTCAAGCTCAAGCTCAAGCTCAAGCTCAGCTCAAGCTCAAGCTCAAGCTCAAGCTCAAGCTCAAGCTCAAGCTCAAGCTCAAGCTCAAGCTCAAGCTCAAGCTCAAGCTCAAGCTCAAGCTCAAGCTCAAGCTCAAGCTCAAGCTCAAGCTCAAGCTCAAGCTCAAGCTCAAGCTCAAGCTCAAGCTCAAGCTCAAGCTCAAGCTCAAGCTCAAGCTCAAGCTCAAGCTCAAGCTCAAGCTCAAGCTCAAGCTCAAGCTCAAGCTCAAGCTCAAGCTCAAGCTCAAGCTCAAGCTCAAGCTCAAGCTCAAGCTCAAGCGGTACCTAGCAGTAAGTCTTCAATTTTGTAATATTATTTTTTTTTTAAATATATTTAGTTTCCATTGAGCGGAGAACTTGTTTTTCTAAGAGAAAAATGAATACCGGAATTCCTTCATAGTGTGTGCACAACTGCCGCTAGTGTCCACGAGCCGCCACTGACTGTATGTGTTATGGTATCACAGATTCTTAAGTGACCGATAGAAATAGGAGCGGTAAATTGCGCAAAAATAGTGTTTTAAATAATAGATTTTAAAGTGAACTTTTAAAAATACTATAACTTTATTATTTATTTAAAGTATTTATTGCGGGAAAAAAAGTTTTTTTTTGTGCTCAAACATTTATAACATTAGAATCGTTAAATTCGTTTACACTAATTACGCCCATTCTCGATTTCTTTGCTTTTACTCCTTTTTTCCAGTCACACAACAGACTTGCTTGTTCTAAATTACATAGTAAATGATAAAAAATATAAAAAGAAGTTGGATAATTTACAGTACCTGTAAAATATTATATGTAATAATAACAATTATATTTAATTATTAATAATAATAAATTACAAGCAAATATTACATGCCAATATATTTAAAAAATACCTGTCTAACTTTTGATTGAAAAATGTTTCTAGGTAGCAGATGCAGGTGGTTCCATATTCGTTCACGCTTTTGGTGCTTATTTCGGTTTAGCTGTTAGTTACGTGATGAACAGGAAAAAGGAAGGAAATTCGGAAACAGCCGTTTCCTTGCAGGAATCCAACTACACGTCAGATCTGTTTGCAATGATAGGTGAGGCACTTTTATAAATTACTTTTTTGTTTGTTCCAGTTGGTAGTTGCTCGACAGGTTTATATTGGATTAAAAGTTTTCGTGGTTTCGTGATACGAAATTCATATTGTAAAGTAAAAAGATTAAGAAAAAATATTCAAGATGGTGGAATCGAAAGTTTAATTTGAAAAATATATAATTTCATATTAAATTAAATTTTAAAACGGAAAATAAATGTATGGTTTAACCTACATGAACTCTTATATCGGCCAATTTTATGTGCATTTATCTCAAACAGTTTTTGAGACTGTTTTCACTGAACATGTTTTTAAATGATCATTAGCAAAGGAATAATAATTAATGTCAATAAACGCTCTAGTAAATTAATGAACTAATTTAAAAATTGTGGTTTCCAGTTGTAAACGCAGCATAAATATATCAACTTGTGCAATACTTAATAATTTTGGATATGTACAAGGTTTTCTATTATATTTTAACCGCTGTTTATTTTTATTATTATTGCCAATTCGAAATAAATTTTAATAGCTTTATTGTTAAATTTGAACCAATTAAAAATGTATATGCCCGCAACAAAATATAAATTAAAGTAAAAAAATTGTTTATTTATTAAAAGTTGTAAATTAATTGCTTGTAATGGGTTATACTTTGTAATTTAAGTAATTTAAATTTTCCTTAAAAATAATAAAAATAAATATGCTGCATGCAGGAAATATACAGGTCTCATTAGGAATGGAACACAGAACAACTGAAGATTCTTGGATTAAAAATAAATCAGTTAAATAAACTTTGCCAGTGGGATACGGCAAGTATCAGCTCATCTTTGGCGCCACTGTCTTAAAAATTATTTGTACTGTGCTTTTAAATTTTTTAATGTTTTTATAAAAAAAAAAAATCAAATTTGCAAAATTAAAAAATAATTTAAAATGATAAATATTTACTTTTAAGTGTAAATATCTCAAAAACCAATAACTTTAGTTCTCAACAAAAGAACATGATTTAAATAAAAAAATTAAAAATATATCAAATAGGTTTTTGAACAGTGGCGGGTGAAAGTATTACTTATTCATGTCGTACGCCGCTGACAAAATTTATTTGACTGTTTTGCTGATAGGTGTATCTTATGACACCAACAATAATTAGGTAAGGTGCCCGTCGGGAAAAATTTTGTGATACATACTCTCACCAAACTTCGTGTATGGCTTTATTGGACCTGTTCCGACCCCAAATTTCTCTATGATGTTTTTTTTTTGTTTATGTGGCCTTTTTTAGCTAAGTTTTTCGAAACATGTCTTATTATTTTGGTAACAAGCCGCCACTGTTTACGACATATAGAAAATTTATAGATACTGTTTTTTTTTTTAAAGATTATCTTGAAGACATGAACTGGAACGTGAAAATAATATTGTCTGACAACAAAAATGTATTAACATTTTTTAATTTTTAAATCAAATTTGGAATGCGATAAAAAAATTGTCTGAGGGTGAAATAGGGTCTTTTAGATAGAAATACCTATTTTGTCAATATACGCTTAGATCTTGCGTTCATTTGTATATATTTATTAATAACTACCAGATTTTTTCAACAAAGCTTGAAAATTGCTACCTACTTTCTGTGCCTAAACACTTGAGGTGGGATTTGTAATAATCCAAGTGTTGAGTGCCGACTAACTGCAGTGAAGAAGAGGTGAATCGTAGCAAAAGTTATGTATGTAAGTGGGCGCCAGGATTTTACTCACATCCAACAATCCCAAGTGACGGTCCACTATAAAACTATTATTTTTTAAAGTTCTTGTGTGTTTTATAATAACATTTTCGCAGAACTGTTTCAAGTACATTGATTTTTCTATGATATTTACAGGAAATCTACATACATTCAGGAATATTTTTGCACATAAAAGTGTCTGTAGTTGAAAATTACATACTGTAGTAATTCATCATTTCATTATCATTTTCAAACTCTTTATTGTGTTGTTTAACAATCTGTAAGTGGGTATTACTTTTTTTATGATCAGCATTAGTTGCTTCAGCGATTAATTTATTAGTTTATTTTTGATCATTTTTGTTCTGACTTTGATATTAGATTATTTAAATTGTTTTAGAGTGATTTTGCATCATTTTGTTTTGTAGTTACAGTTTTTCGCTAGTTTTTATGGAATTAATTAGACCATTTTTTTTACTAAGTTTTTACAGGCCAGTCAATTGTTAGGTAAATAAATAAAAATATCGTATAACAATTTTTATATTATTTTTCAAACTACATACATTAAAGTTGCTTTAACTTACTTACTAAAATATCCTGAACTTAATATGGTTTTTGTTTTTTATTTGTTTTTTTTTTTGTTTTTTTATTTTTTTTTTATTTTTCGTGCCAGGAGTACAAATACAAATTTGTGTTAATAAGAATACTGTATTAATAAAGATGTTATTTCACATTTTCTCAAATCCGGCATCTACAAAATAAGTTGTTCCACTTGTAACACTGTCTATGTCGGCCAAACTGACCGTAGAATAATTGATCAAGTCCGGGAACACAGTAGACTTTTAAATAAATATAAAAATACATATATTTCCAACACATAGTGTTCGTTTGTTAATCACAGAGAAACATGATTTCGATATCAGTAACACCACTCTACTTTATCAATATACTAAAGGCCATAGAATGGATCTACTAGAATTTGCTGAAATTAATAAGGTAATGTTCAATAATAATGTTAATTGTGTTAATGAACAAATACAACCTTTTAAAAATTATATTTTTTTAAATTTAAACTTTTAACCCCTCGATTTGTTTATTATATCCATAGTTGTCAGTTTAATTTAATTAAACCTCACTTGATCATTTTTATTTTAACTTTAGTGCAATTAGTACTTATCATTATTCAGCTACTCTTTTAATTCTTCTTTATGGATAATAAGTTGAATAAAGAAGTAAGGAATTGGTTTGAAATAAGTATACCCACTTAGACCCTGCCCCATCTCTTATATTTTTGTTCATTTATTAACTATTTTGCTTTTATTTTTTGTTATTATAACATATTGTGAAAGAGGGTGGGTGGCTCAGTGGTAGAGTCTCTGCCTGTGGATCCAAGGGGACCAGGTTCGAATCCCACGTTGGACGGGATTTTTTTTATTTAATTTAATTATTTAAAATTAATTCTGATGCCTTGGTAGGATTCCCTACTCGACCATTCACTATTGGGTTCTAATTAATAGTGCTGTTCCTGAAGTGGCGCTGGGAAACAGTATCAAAGCCTACACAGAACACACATGATTGAGAATTTAAAAACTCAAACTGAGACTGGCATATAAGGTTTATAAATACACCTAGGCCATAAACAAACAAAAAATACCATATTGTAACGGTAAGACTTTTGATACTCTTATTGACATTTAGTTGTAAATTTTATTCTCCGTTCATGTTAGTGAAATCGCCATTTTACTTTAATATCGCGTGTCTCAGTATTTGGTGCGACAAGAGTGATTTGATTTCTTGCTTTTTACCACGTGCAACTTGTCTAACTTTATTTGGCAATTTTTAGACCACTAAGTGTTATTTAAGGACAGCATTTCATCAACGAATTGCAGATGTGGCTCCTACGAACCTTCAAAGGGAGTTTATTGATTTGCTCCTATATCCATAATTATTTTTTCATACGACCACTTAGGAAAGTGACACATATCACACTATATAGTCCTATGGAAAGTGCCCTATATCAAACGCGTATAAATAAGAATTTACTTTCCACCCGTGTACGAATATGCTACTTTTCGCAGCAGCTGTCACAAAATGTCAAACACATATCATTTCTATTTTGATCTATGTAATGTCCATATTATTGCTAAAATCGATATGATTGTTAAATTATTGAAATTGTTGTTAATTAGATCCTAAATATTTATCTTTAACAATTATTATTAAAATAATTTTAAAATAACTAAGATATGTTTACTTTTTTTCTGGTTAAACACATAACCGACTAGATCATGTAATTGACGTAATGCCTATTAGCTCAGATGGTTAGAATGTCAAACTTACCAACTTTGCAATTTGAGACCTGGCGAGCGACCGCGTTCAAATCCTGGCGGGGCCAGTATTTTTTTTTGTTTAGAAAATATGAAAATTGAATAAATACGATTATTGTTGAATATTTTCTTAAATACATTTTAATTATTATAATAAAAACCTGCTTTTACATTTTATGACGAAATTATTTTGTGGTCGTAGGAAAAATATTGTACATCACTTGTGTGAAAAGTGATTTTCCACACTCGTGTGATAGTCGCACTCGGATTATGCCTCGTGTGACAATATTCAATATATTCAATATATATCAATATATGTGAAAAATGTCACTTTCCACACTCGTAATGTAATATACTACATCTTGCCCCTTATAGATGGGCGACTACTTTTTATTATAACGCTTGTCAGCATTATAACGTTTGTCAACTTTTGTAAAGTCACAATTTTCGTTTATCAAGATGACACTTTTAATTCTTGGTTTTACTTTATGAAAAACCACGTTAGACACTCTACTACTGCCATTATATTGGCTCAACTTCATCACCTTCTGGGGTTTAAGTTAAAACCTGCCATTCTCTTCTCCCAACTTAATTTGGGGACACCACCGACTCCAGTATTCGATCATCTCACTCTTGAGGCTTCTACCATCTACTCTCCACGTTTATAATTATTTTAAGTAATATGTTTATCATTAAGTTTAATCTCTAATCCAACTTTAATCATTACTCATTAAGTTCAATGCTACTTCTTGCACCTCATATGTTGTTATTTTATAAAGTAGATTTAGTAGATCAACAATTGTTTCATTATATTCTATTTGTAATTTGTCTTTAGAAACCACTTAAGATCTTAGGTATGTATGTATTATACAGGGTGTCCCAAAATTAGACCGTCATATTTTAACGGCGTAATCTACATCCTAAAATAGGAATAAAAGTTTATATAAACATAGGTCCGAAAAAGTTTCTTTTCCG